GCCCTGAAAACCCTTCCGCTCTTTCTTTTCTAAACATCTCTAGCGTATTTATTTCTTCATGCAGCTTGATTGCTTTTCACCTTAAAAGTGCATGGAAAAAGAAGCACTTTGCACCATGTGCCTACACAAATAAATGAATAAATATTAAGTTTGTAAACTGTTATTTTTCATATTATCGTGCCAATCAAATGTTCCTTAATTGGAGCTTGTCATGAAAATGGATGGCCTTTTTTTATTTCAGCTGTAGAGTGAAAAAGGGTTATTCAGATATTCAGAGTCAGTTTTGAACTTCCTCAATAAAGTGCAGCAAGTTAAGGTGAATCGATGCAGCAGAAACCATTGCACATCACTGAGCACTTGCTTGTTTGGTGGCTCCTGTGATGCTGTGCCGCCTTTGTTAGATTTACTGTCTGGATGGCTTCCACAGTGTACCTTCTTGTTCAGTGTACCCCACAGTTTAATCAAAAAGTACTGGTTAATATAGCATATACAAAAATCATCTACTTAGCTGATCTAATGAAAAATGTATTTTAATATATCTCTAAGTAGAATTTACTCTTTGAAATATTTGGTTGCAGAGTTTTAAGCTAAAGTTTGAGGCAGTTGTTTTACATAGGGTGAATACTACCAGTGTGTAACTGAAATGCAGGTGCGTTGTCTTACACATTCAAATAGATTTTTTTTCTCTTTGTATTTCAAAACTTTATTATCTGATATTAGAAGAGATGACTCAGTGATGCATAAGAAGCACAATGGAAACAAGAATTCGACTGGAAGTAGCATATATTTAAAGAACATATAAAAAAATCCTGAATATTTATTTTACCTTTAAAAGACTTATGAAAATGCTAGAGATCAGTCAGTATAAGCCACAGAAAAGCATAATGTTCTTGGATGTCTCTTACAAAGGGAGAGCTGATGAGTGCTTCCTAAAAGTGCTATTTTTATTTCTGTAATGGTTGAGCTTCTGGCTCTGTGACATTATATTTAGTGACTATGGATTCTTTTAGTAGAATAATTGGATGGTTCCTAAATGCTATCTGTGTCTTTTGATTAACAGGATCACCCAAACTAGAGGAGAAAGAACTTGATAATAGTTGCCTTTCCATCTCTAATCTATTTATTTTTCTCCTGTGGAGAAATTCTAAATTCTATTTAGAATTTTGAATTTATGTCAGACCGATGTCCTTTTCAGAAGGGGCTCTCCTGACGTCCTCTTTGTGCTTGGTGAACATACTTGTGATGAAAAGGAGTTGGAACCATTCGAAGATGTTTCTTAAGAGCTATGTTCTACTTTCTGGGGGGAAAAAGAAAATTCTTTCTAATTTGATAGTCCTTCCTTACTAGGACAATTAGAATCTAGTTTTTGCAAGATATTAATGCTGGGATGTTTTTGCTGTCTGCATTGCTTTCTTGCACGCCTCGTTTCTCAAAGTGCTGCTGTTTTCTCACAGCCTGTCATTTTTGCTTGCTGCAGGCAGTTCAGTCGCAGGATGGGAAGTCTTTTGATGGGCGTTTAAAGTTTTATTTCAGCTAAGTTTAGACATGCACAGTTTAGAGGTCTGCATTCTGAGGCAGTCCTTTTAAGTTCCAAGTTAGAACTAATATTGAGAAAGAGGATTTTCTTTGGATGTGATTCATCTGATTTATTTTAGGTTTCGACTTTAGAACAAAGCAGCTAATACTCCATCACTACTTGGTTTTCTGTGTTGGCTGTGAAGGGAGGTGAAGACACCCACCTTTCGACGATTAGGTGTATCTTCAGCTATTTTGTTGGTTTAAATCCTGGTATGAGAATATAGCGTGAAATGGTAGATCTTGAAAGAGAAGTAAGATAAGAAAGATGAGAAAGAGATGATAAAAAGTCTTTTTCATTTGTTATCTTTTTCATTCCCACCTGTAGAAGAGTTATTGTGTTGTGCTACGGTTTATAACTTCCTTTTTGTTCAGCAATGTGATAGCAGTATCATGAAAAGAAAAGGTGCTCAAAGGCAGGAAATTTGCAAAGGAACACAGTAGCTAAGTAGTTGTAATCTCATTCTTTCAGCAACTGTTTAGTGAAGGAGGGCCTGCAGCCTGCTTCTTTCAAGGGGAATAAAGTTCAGTATGTCTGTGTTTTCTATAAATATGAGGAACTCTGGTTCATTTATTGTTTTTTCTGTAAACATTGTGAGGCAGAGAGTTTTTTTGCTGTTTAAAATATTAAAATGAAAAAAATTATAACTAGACTTTTTTTTCCCACTGGAGTACTGTTTTACGAATCTATAATAAGCATAAACTGTATAACAGTAAGATATTTTTATGAGTTAACACATATAGGATATGCAAAAAAAATTGTTCCTGCTGTAGAAGATACATCATTCCTCTTCTTTTCTGTCTGGAAAAGTCCTTATCTTCTAAATTAATGGGAATATTAATCCTTAATTTTCATTCCTGAGCTGTTAAAAAGGGATTCTATTCTGCAAATTGTGGTGTTTTCTTGTTTGTTTTAAAATCTCAAGGCACATCATGCTGGAGGTAGATAGATAAATACTTAATACCGATTTTTTTTTTGTTTTTATTCCCCGACAGGATCATATGAAACTTGTCATCTTAAATTGACCTTTTTTTTGTCCATGTTAAGGCTAATAATTTTCAGTCTTTCTGTGAGTAAGTCTTGTGAGCACTCCTAGGAACTTATCTGTTAGTGGACTTAGTAAAGGACATGTTGACATTAATAATAATTTGCTACTTTTTCTGGACTTTGAGGGATCTTTCTATTGTCTTCTTTTTGAGCTGGGGACCTGACATTTTAAGTTGGATTAATTTTGCCACATGTACATCACCTTAGCTACTTGTCTAAACTGAGTTAGGTTTCTTCATTGCTAGATGGTTTGGTTTTTTTCTTGATGTTGGTCTGTTGGTCAGTTGGGATTGGTCAATCCTTTCTTGGTATCTCCATTGTATTCAAGCATCTTCACCATGAAAAATCTTCTATCTTTTATGTTATGCTAGGCTTTTTTCTTAACATATTTCTTCTAAAGGGGTTAGATTTAATTAGTGAAATGAACCCAAGGTTGTCCTAGAACCTGTCTTTGATGAGGGGAGTTTAATAGAGAAAGTGATGGGAACGGCACAGGAAGGTGGTGGAGGGGAGTGTTACCTCCCAGTTACTGCCTACGTTACCCCCGTTTTCCACAAAGCATTGTGAGAATTTGCTGTCCATTGCTGGGAGAGGAGTATGGTACTGATGTCTGGGGGGTCTGTCCTCCTTTTTGCTGTGAAGAAAATGCTGCTGACATTCGGTAAGGAGTTTCTTCCTCCTCACAAAAGGATCTAGTGTTAAAAAAAATTTGCTGTTGCAGTCTGCTACTCTTTCTTCATTGTTTTGCAAGGCAGTTTCATATCTGAGTTTCTTGTATAGGGTATTTAAAATATGTTGGATACTTGTTTGTTGATCTTCTTTTAGAAACTGGGTTTTAAAAACTGTACTCGAATGCAAACGTAAGTGACTACTGGTGCATTGTTTACAGTCCTGACACCCCAGAGACCATGGTGTGCTTTTATTTTATGGAGTACCTGCTGCAATCCCCTGGTTTACTTTCCAGGTTTCCCAATCTTAACTAAAGTTCTATTAGCACAACCTAATCTCCTTGCGTTACAGCTATTAATATTTCACAGTCCAAACCCAATGATCCCTTAGAAGATGCTCACCCACATATAGACACCAGTGCAAACAAGAATGCTTTGGTAACACCTTGCTACCGGTGTCTACAAGTAGTGGTAAAGTTGCTGGTTGTTGGTATGTTAAAATTATCTTATAATGTGTAATGCTCATGGTTATTACCAATTGACAAATAAGTGCTTTAAGGTAGCACAATCAAATGGGGCAACCTAAAGATGTACTTAGGCTTCCATAAGGACATACTGCAAAGCTATGAGACAGATAATAGAGGAATTTTAAGATAGCGCATTATTCTTGGTTAACCTTGCAGTTGTGTAATGGAGGAAGTTCTTTCTTTGGTATATCACACTCTGTTTAAGTAGAATCAAACACCTCTCTCTTCTGCACCTTCCCCTCCTTGCGAAGAAACTCGGGCTGGGAAGGATGCTGCTTTGCTTCCTATCTTGATTCAGTAAGGCACTGTGAGCTGCTGCAGGAGGGAAGCTGCAGCCTTTACTCAGAGCATCCCCAGCTCGTGTTGACCTCTCTTCTGGGGCTATACCAGAGATTTACGAGTTAGCTGGCAAGGCAGCTCGTTCTGTGCTCTTTCCAAAGTGGATTAATTCAGATGCTGTGGTTTATTTGCCAAAAAACGTGGTAGGAGGAGGTAAAAATTCAGTTCATAGCAAAATATGAATTTCTTTTAACGCACTTGTGTGAAAGACTCAGTTTCCACGAATTAGACATCATTGGGATTCTGTGCTTTTCCAGTATTGAGAATCACAGAATTTTCTTGGGGTGGGGGGGTGGGAATCATCTGTCCCCTTTTGTCTGAGTTCCTTCTGATTCCAAGTGCTTGCCTGGAAAACAAATCCTCCTCAAAAAGCTGTAGTCGGCTTTCTAAATAAATTTCACTGGTTTTCTAGAAAGTATTTTTCAGGGCTTTTTCTTCTATCAAGACTGGCAACACATTTTGCTGTGCATAATGCAAACACAGACATGTTCAGCAGAGATTGTTCATACATAGCTTGAGGGCTCTCAAAGTGCTCTGATGATCCTTTCTCAGGTGTGAAACGCTTAGAATGAAGTAATTTATTATATATTAATTCTGGCTAACCAGGCATGATTTGAGATTTTCACAGTCTGCAAGAAATTAAGTATTCATTAACGTTTAAAGCCATTAGATGACACATTCGAGCAATAAATGATTCATTTAGTCCCTGTTAAAGTAAATGTGTGTTGAAGTTTCTGACTAGAAGATATGTGGTGGTTGTCTTTGTTTTCAATTATTTTCCTCATTCTTGCTTTCTTTATTCTGTGCACTTCATTGACTTGTCTTTTTCTTTTTCTAAAACAGAAGAAGAGGAAGTGGAAAATTTTGATGTTTCCAGTCTGCCTGAAGAAGTGCTGCAGAACATAGAAGCTGACAGTTACTGGTGCATGAGCAAGTTGCTTGATGGTATTCAGGTAAATTGATTTTTCCTGTCTGTAAGTAGTGGAGTTAACTGATTAATGTTATGGCTCTGAACTGCTTTAAGGTTGTTGAGAAAGAGTACATCTATTAAAAACAGGGGAGAAGTAGATTTTCCAACTGGAGAAATCTGCTTCAAGTTTGCCATGGTATTAAGGAAGAAAAAGGGGAAAAAATAGAAGTGCAACTTCTTTTCATAAATACATCTGCATGTTTCATTGTAGTATGGTGTTCTAGAGCAGTGTTGAAGTCTCCAATTCTAGACTCATGTTGTGCACCTCGGTCACCAAGCATGGAGAATGTTTGTTCAAGTCTCTAATTTAAATGGTCTCACTGTGGTGATGAAGAGCTGGCTTATTTATACTTCTTAAAGTCATTAATATAGCGACCTATAAACAATTGCTGTCTTAATAGTTCCTGAAATTATCTTCATATTTTTAAAACATCTATTTAAACTTTGATAATCCTGCTACTTCATTGAGCGTTTGAATTTTTTCTATGTGGAGAAGCTATAAATGCAGGTATAATTTTCTGTTAAATGCAGCAAGTTACAGACCAAGAATGGTGGATTTGTGTGTATGTTTGCATTCATCAGCATGTAAGTTTATGAAGATTAGAAGGATCTACAAGAAATAGTAAATATAGCTGAACACCTTGCATTTAGGTGGAATCCATATGGTCTGCCATAGGTTAAATGGGAGTCTGAACATGTGTATTTGATATTTAGCATATTAAAACATTTCATGCTGCAATGCTGATGCACTGGAAAGTAGAGACTTTGGACTTTCCAAAGAAGTTACCTGAGTTGAATTTTATAGGCTTTGTGTTGCAATAGGCATCAAATACTATCTATCTCATATCTATTTTTCAGATCTGTGTCATTTGAGATAAACATTTTGAGTCTTGCTAGAAAGTAAAGGTAATCTGATTTTGTAAACTCGGAACATATGCACTAAAATAATAGTCATTGTGAATTCCTGGGTTACGATGGGACTAAAATTGACCTATGCTAGACATGTGAAAGTTTCTGAAAGGTGGTGATTTCTAATTTGCACTGGCAACAAAGAATTGTTTTTAGTGATGTTTGGTAGGCAGATATTTGCAGTCAGGCTTCATTTGCTTCTTTCAGTGAGCTGATTAGAAAATAAATTATGGTTACAAATACTTAGCACATTGCTGCTGCTGCTTTTTTTATGTTTGTACCTTCTCTTTCTGATTATTCCCTGCTTTCTAGTGAGCCACTTGTATAGTGTAGAGGACCTTTTCTGTTCAATTTCTTCAATATTATTTTGGTGACAATAGAAATTGTCACAGGGGTAACAAAACTTTGGGTGATTTATTCCTAACATTCTCTTAAAAGATGAGGTGATGGACAAGTGCTTCTACTGTACTTATTAGATTCAGACCCTTTGATAGGTCCCATGTAACTTTATTTTTTTTGAAATGCTTTGGACAAGTGCTTGAAAATTGGAGGGTTTGTTTCTCCAAGTGGTTTTAATCTAGCAAAGATCCTGGAGGTTGAGTTTATGTGTGTGGAGAATGGCTGTCCTCAAGTCATTAGTAAATCATTATAAAACGTGAACAACCATAAAAATTCCTATGAATTGAAGCTGTACTTTTCAGTGAAAATAAATCAGTGTGTTCCAGATTCTTGATTCTGATTGCATTTTTCTGATAGATATTTCTTTCCTTATGCTACTTAGTATTTTTAAAAGTGCTTTAACATTCTTGCCTATGACTTATGTTTTAATATGAGTGTTTCATTGCCTAAGGCATGTTTGCTAAAGCATATTGGGAATTTAAATTTGTAACAGAATTAATTTTTAACAAAATTGTTATAAAATTGAGTCAACAAAGACAAGTCTTCACTTCTTTGAAGGTATTTTAAGTGTATTTCTTCTGGTTAAAGGTCAAATGAGTAACAGCTCAGTGTTTTGTGTAGCATTGTTGAAAAACATAGTCTTTTGTCATGTTGATTCCTGTAAAAAAAAAAAAAAAAGAAAAAAAAAAGCTGCTTTGCTTATTCCAATCTCTCAAAACCACTACATTTTAAAATATTTAACCACATATCAAAAATATGTGAGAACTTCTAAAGAAAAAAAGTGAGAACTTGAAATCTACTTGAAGGGAAGAAAGCCAGGTAAAGAAATGCAAGCCCTCCAACTGTTTTACTTATTTCTGGAACATTTTCTTTAACAGGCCTGCTGCTCTGTTTTTTATTCTAGAAAAGGAAGTTCAGAGATTACATCATTTCTCCTTAAAATTCTGTTTTCATAGAAAACCATCAAGTACTGATAAACAAAATATTGAAACTAATTGTAATGGAATTAAACTGCATCGATGAAAATTTAAGGTCTTATTTAAATTGAATGGTTATCAATTGGATGTATTCAAGGATGCACTCATCTATCAAAAGCGGGCTTGAAAGATTATGCTCGTGGTGTGACTAATGATGTTAGAGTTAATTCAGTGCAACTGCAGAGTGCTGCTGAAATGAAAGGTTTTGCTTCTTTTTTTCTCCCATTCTGCTTTTTTGTTTCCCTTCTGAGTTGATACCACTTTACGTGTCAGACAGAGGAGTCATGTAGTTGAAGGTTGAATTGGCTGGGAGAACTAACCCAAGAAGAAATTAGCTCATTGAAATGAAGGGGATACCGCCCTCCCCGCCCCCGCCCCCCTAAAATAAAGATTGTTTTACTGAAGGGATGCCATCCAGAGGGACCTTGACAGCCTTGACGAGGGGGCCCATGCAAATCTCATGAAGTTCAACAAGGCCAAGTGCAAGCTCCTGCACATGGGTCGGGGCAATCCCCAGTATCAGTACAGACTGAGGGATAAATGGATTGAGAGCAGTCCTGCCGAGAAGGACTCGGGAATACTGGTGGATGAGAAATTGGATATGAGCCAGCAGTATGTGCTCGCAGCCCAGAAGGCCAACCATAACCTGAGCTGCACCAAAAGCAGTGTGGCCAGCAGGTCAAGGGAGGTGATTCTGCCCCTCTACTCTGCTCTGGTGAGACCCCACCTGCAGTGCTGCATCCAGCTCTGGAGTCCCTAGCACAAAAAAGATGTGGACCTGTTGGAATGGGTCCAGAGGAGAGCCACGAACATCATCTGAGGGCTGGAGCAGCTCTCCTATGAGGACAGGCTGAGAGAGTTGAATTTGTTCAGCCTGGAGAAGAGAAGGCTGCAGGAAGACCTTATTGCAGCCTTTCAGTACTTTAAGGAAGCTTATAAGAAAGATGAAGAGAGACTTTTTAGCAAGGCCTGCAGTGACAGGACAAGGCGTAATGGTTTTAAACTGAAAGAGGGTAGGTTTAGATTGGACATAAGGAATACATTTTTTTATGAGGGAGCCCAGAGTAACTGTGGATGCCCCATCCCTGGAAGGGTTCAAGGCCAGGTTGGATGGGGCTTTGAGCAACCTGGTCTAGTGGCAAATGTCCCTGCCCATGCCAGGGGTTTGTACTAGATGAACTTTAAAGGTCCCTTCCAACCCAAACCATTGTATGATTCTATGATTCTAAGTGACTTGCAGTCTGGATGCATGATCACCAAATCCACTGGTGGGGGGCAAGAACTAGATGCGGATGGGTGAGGGGGGGACATGGAATCATTAAACTTAAGATCAAATCATGCCCTGAATTGTATAAGCTGATTTACATCAAATTGTGATAATTCTATGCTCCTGCCTGCACCTGAATGCTCATTCTTGTCTATCCCTTGCTGAGTGCTACCCGTTGTGAGCTGATTCACAGAGCTGAACTGCCTCACAACACAACAAAAAAGCACTGGTTGGTTGAAGGGGTGAACACCTTGAATACCTACCGTAGCAAAGAAATGAGTAGAACTACACAGTAGGGCCGAGGCAGGATCATGACAATTGAGACCGAGAATTACTGTAATGGCTGTAGATTCTCAACTTGCCAAGCTTGTTGCCAATATGCAGTAGCCTAGATGATCTGCTGCTGATTGTTTCTTGGACATAGTCATTAAATTAGTTCTTACTACTCCTTTAGTATTTTCCATGTGATTTATTACAGATAGTGGAATGTCTTTATAGCCAACCAAGAAAACCTGCTTCTCTCTCACAAAGCCATAAAACCAGACAATATAAAAACACAAAACCAAAGGAGAATCCCAGAGAAGATTAGTGCTATTACGTTTCCTTTTTTCTGTGAAAATATGTCATAATTGACTCATGCATGACTACTGGTATTTTGTCTGAGTTGTCTGAATAAACTGTACAGGGATTTTAAAGAAGAGGAATACGTGACGTGGTGATAACTGCAATCTAAGTATCCCTGCAGAATGTATCCAGTAATTTATTCATCAACATAGGCTTCCATTTGATGTTGGCCTATCAGTATTGGACAAGTTTAAAGGGTGTACTGTGATAACAATTAGGGTCCCGTTGTGAAATTTTTGACTAATACGAGCTAGATACATTTTTGTGTGTTTGTCTTTCCAGTGCGTAAGAGTGTAATGGAAAAATGATTGTATTTGTATCCCTTTATTATTCTTAACAGAAAACTCATTTATTTTTCCAACCCATGCAGACTGTCTCATTTTCTTGATTCCAGAATTGTCAAAGGTGTTATTAAGAAATACGTATTTCTTGGTCGAGTTTTGCTACACATAGTATCTATTATTTCTCCTTTCCTCACTCATCTTACTCCCCTCCCTTCTTTATCTAATGTGAGTCTGTGTATTTTTAATATTACAGCACGTCTTTGAACCATAGGGACCTATGGAATAAAAGACTGCTGGCATTGAGCAGCATGACAATCACTTCCTGACATGCTTACAGCTCTTAGCCTAGAGAAGAAATAAAAATCTTGGTCAAATAATCTGTTGCTTTAGCAGATTCATTCATGTTGTTTTTTGGTGATCTGGGGGTTTCTATGCAAGTATGTCTTTGGCTCTGGTTAGAGGTAATATTTTGCATTTTTCTTTTGCAGAACTTTTCCAATAGATTGATATTGCACAATAGTTT